TCGAGCACACAAATAGATGTCGGAGATCTTGACGACCCTGCCAGCCAGGATCTGACAAAGCAGACGGGACCATCCAGGAGTGGCCCTCTGTAGGCAGACAGTCCAAAACCGTCTTTGGAAATGGTCGGTACTGGACGTCATACTCGAGAAGCAACGCCTCAGTCTCGGCATCCTTGGTCTCTAGTTCTCCGAGGGAGCGAATATAGTGCCCAATTGGATACCTGCTGTCTCGATCCCATGAATCAATCGTTGCAAGAATCCGCTTGCCTATCAACTCATCGACCTGACGTGTTCGAATTCGAATTTTAGGAATGCGCTTGTCCATTGGAATCAAAAAGACGGTGGTCTGTCTGTTTCCAGATGTGCCACCAGACGCCGAGTCGATAGTTCCGACCAGCTGTCTCCAATTTCTTTTGACAACTCCGACTACTTTACAGGTTGGTTGAGCCTTTGTCTCTGCACCAGCAATGTGTGCACGGCGAACCTCTTCCTGGAGAGCACGTCTCTCGTTCTCCGTAACCACGGTCTGCTCTTGTTCCTCGTCGTCCGGATTGTCGTTTTCATTGATCGTTTCCTCGTCAAGGATTTGAGTCGAAGGGGCTTTCCATTGGTATTTTGGCAGAATCTCAACCACGACGACATCGCCAGATATAGATCGATTACTGCTCTCCCTTCCAAGAACCAGTAATGGCTTGTCAAATGCGGGGACTTTCACTGTTCCTTCCAAGTAGTTGTATGGAGAAACATTGAAGACCCCTTGATGTAAAGTTCCAGCCTTGATTCCTGTCATCGTCCTTGACATGGAGTAATACTCTGGGTAGAAGAGCTGCCCCTGGGCAGCACGGACTTCTTGAGCATCGGCACCTTGGCTAACCATGTCGAGTAATCGATCGGCATCATCTAATCCCTCGACATATTCCCGGAGTGATAGGGCTGTCACGTTCCCTGCTTGTGCCTTTCTTCTATTCTCCTGATCATTGGTGAGGACGACGATTGTTGGGGCTTTCTTGGTCACTTTCGATAGATGGTCAGTGTACCATTGCGCCGCTCTTCTCACAGCACGATCGTTCCGGTCATTGATAGACTCGTCACTCTCACGTCGTACCGCGGTCTCCAGACGGAACTCGTTGAAGAAAAGATAGAAACGCTTGTCATCACTTTGGACCAACGCCATCAACCTGTTGTAAAGAGGAAGACTCCTATTCTTCAACTCTTCCAGAACCGTCTGCAATACAATGACGTCGTGAAAGTGAGCTGGTTCTTCGAGGAGGTCCATTGCGCTGAGCAAGACATTGGTATCGGGAACCAGGTAGTGGCCGTGGGTAAAGGTTTTGGTGCCGGTAGGTCGCTTCGATAGGACAAACTTGGGGACTGATGTTCCTGTCAGTGCATGAAGGTTGTATCATGTAGGAAGATGAGCACATACCAACTCCATTGGCGTCGGGCGCGGCAGTGGAAGCGCAATCAGTACACAATTGCGACGAACAGGGAATGTCTGTTCTCAGATACTGTTCTCTCACGACTTTCTGTACTCGACCACGCTTGGTCGACCGAATAAAGACTTTGCTGGAAATATTGCCAGCATTTGGATCGGCGGCGAGGCTTCGCTTGAGACTTTTCATCTCGGCTGCCTCGTGTCCGCGAACGCTAGAAATGAAGGGTGAAGAAAGGGTGCGAGCTCGAAATACCGAAGGCTACTTGAAATTGTCAAAAGTTCCCCCCCACATCCTTGTGTGAAGATTGCGCTATTGCACTGAACACTCCACAGAATACAGAATGTCTCCTACGGCGAGTTTTTCAAGCTCCGTTTGCGAATTCAGGCCGAAAAAGCAAATCCACCTTGAAAGGGAGGGGGTCAATTCCATCCCGCCGGCTCCCCGCGCAGTGCTACTGGTCTACGGAGACGGTACTTCGGACCTGATCCCAAATGGCACTGCGTTTGTCCGACATTATGGATCTTCTTTGCTTGCTTGAGTTCTTGGAGTTTCTAGGCCGCATGCTTTGCCATCGTGAGGCCTGTCTTCATCATGGGATACGATCCACTCGATTCCCTCATTGGAGGCCGCTGTAGCTGAAAATCCTACCGCGGAGGAATTGATATCCTTTCCTCCACTCCCTTTCACTACCTTTGAGGCTCTGTCTCGATCCTGATAGCTAGAGGAAGCTTTGTCTACAGCAGGTCATGAAACGATAGTGGGAGACAAACACCATCATGTCTGAGAAACCACCATACATTGTCCCACCTACAGCCGACTCGACTTCTACCGCCCGTCCTGCGACCTTCATCTTTCTCCACGGTTATGGGGACGACGCCGAAGGCCTCCCATTGGGTCTTGCCCAACAGTTTCAGTTCTACAACAAGATGCAGTACTTGAAATGGGTCCTTCCGAATGCGCCGCACAACCACGAAGCCATGGCTCGAGCATGGTACATCCCCAAAGCCCTGCCCAATGCGCTGAAGCCTCGCGTCCCCGGCCATGAAGACGAGGAGGATGCCCTGGACGACGAGGCTGGAATTATGAAGAGCGTGGATATGATTGACCGACTTGTCGAGCAAGAGATCAAGGGTGGCACACCTCCAGAGAGGATTGTCGTCGGTGGATTCAGTCAGGGTTGCGCAGTGAGCCTGGTCTGGGGTTTGACGGGAAGACTCAAGGACAAAGTCGCCGGAATGCTCTGCTTGTCTGGGTATTTGCCCCTACGGGACAGAATAGCGGAGCTGAGAAATGAGCGAAAGAGCAAGGACGAAAAGGACTACAAGGACAGCAAAAAATGGTTTTACGTCCACGGGACAATGGACATGTTGGTCCCTTCAAAATTCTTCATGCAAGGTAAGGAAGAACTGGTCAAATGGGTTGGTAAGGACAATGTCGAGGAGCATTTATACCAGGGCATGGGACATTCCACTAGTTCGGCCGAGTTGAGAGATATGCTGGCATTTTTTGAAAAGGTCATTCCAGCGTGTTAGGCATCGTGATCTGCCGATCGACTGGTCCGGTTGTCACACAAAAAACCGCGTGAGAATATTTCAGCAAGCATGGGTACTAAGCTTTGTGAAGATGTAGCATAAAAGATCGACTTCTGGAAGTAGACGAGTCCAGCTCTTTGCGCGACCCCATAAACCCCTTCAACCGTGGCTGTTATTGATCCTCTGATCGTAAATCTCCTCAGATCTCTCCTAAATATTGATTTGGCTCCGATACTATCGTCCTTGATATAACGTCACGTTGTACCACTGCTTCAACGTGGGCAACTCTACCAAATGCAAGCAGTTTCGTTAGCAAATGTCTTTCCTTCACTGCTGAAATTTCGATGACCATGCGCCCTCTGCTAAAGATGGACGACTGACTTTGATCTATCCATATCAAGCAGATTATGAGGCGATGGCTGCCTTCCTAGCGCCAGTCCTTCTTGCAGCAACGTTCTCCTATTTCCACACCGCCCGAGTGTCTCAACCCCAGGGAAAAGTCAAGGGAAAGAAAAGCTAGCATCCTACACATCCCGCTAGGTGTGGCAAAACTTCCGTAACAGGATGGTGGCACAAAAAGAGAGACAGGAAGAAAGAGCAGAAGGAAGACGTACCGCTCCACAAGATCCACAAGTCTTGCTCCCCGAAGATATTGACGCTCCACATTTGGGACAACCTGAGTGAGACATAGTGTAGCTTCTGAGAAGTGAGGTGTAGTCCTGAGACAAGAAGTAATGGCCTCTGAGATAGATGGGTCAATAATGTGCAGTGGACGTGACCAAGGGTGAAGTGAAGTTTGATGTGAGGGGGGGTTCAGTTCTCGAGTCTGACTGTTTTTATATTAGCTGATAGATGCCCCTCCATTAGTATCATCGCTTACTGTCGGACCGCCTTGTAGCGTACTCAACAATACATGGTAACCGTGACAGCCTACCAGTAGAATTAATCTGTCATGGGCAAAAGCCTAATCTCACCATGTGCTTATATAATTAAGAGTGCATCTATGTGTAGAAGATGTGTGACTCCCCGGTGTATGGCGATGCTAATATTAGTGAACTGCTCTGTCTTTTAATCTTTTAACCTTGTCCTATTGGGCCCAATGGGTTGTATTAATGTGGTGAAAGACGTAACAGCGGGCTTTCTTGTTAAGCAGTACGGAGTACCACTTTCCACCCTTTGCGGGGAAGGTCGTACATAACTTAATTACCTATGCTCGTACTAAGTAGATATCGACCGTTATAGTGAATGATAGGTGAGAAAAGCCGGACCCAGTCTTCTCCCGAGCGGAGTGGCTGCTTTACACAATAACTCACCAGTTGGTAGCGCTGCTATATTACTTCCTACTCAAGTTTCTGGTGATTCTCTAGTACTATGTGCAGGTATTGATCATAACACAATAGTGTTCTCGGTTACCGGGCTCAACCTCTTGGCCGTTTCCGAAGCTGTACAAGTCGTTACTGGAGAGAATAAGTTTCCCGAGATGCGCCGTTTGTTACGCGAATACAATCCTTGTTCGGGTGTTATTCTTCATGGCCTCGGAGGGATTAGAAAAACTTAGCTAGCTGTTAAATACATTATACAGTATAGGGAGAAATACTCACACACACACAATTTATCACGCCCGGTGGCTAAGCTGAAAGGGTAACTAAAGCTATTCTATTAATGAGAGATATACAGTACATGCTCCTTAAACTGTCAAGAGATCAACACAAAATCGGAAAAAAGTCCGAAACGAAGATTCGATTTCAAAGAGAGCGAGGAAGAGAGAAGCATTAGAGTGGTCGAGTGAAGGCGCGGTCAACCATTGAAGAATTTTGCAGAGTAGATCTACCAGCTTCAATTCTTTACATCATGACAATGAGAATTTCAACCTCTATCACCTCCTTGAATTTACATCACCAATTGCGATCCAGCATGGCACCCAAGGGCCTTCAGAATTCCGTCCCCAGTAAGGCAGGAAATCCGGGCAGAATACCCTAATAGTGGGGACAGAATCCTGTTCCCCCCTGGGTGCATGGTTCTGTTCGTTAACTCATGCAGAGTCCTCCGGACTTAGTCCTTTGACGTCCGACATTATCTCCTTTTGTTCCATTGGTCCTTGACCTCCTATGGCATTCTCTGAAGATTGAGAATGCTTTGATTCGCCAGCGACCACGCCATCAACCGTCTTCCTTCGACTGGATATCTCAACGAAGAACTCACGCCAGAATGTTCGAGTCTCCCATATGGGTAGAACTCCACAGATTCCAAGGGCACAAAACACCCAGATGAAGCTGACAGCGACATAGAATGTAAAGAACCCTTTAGTGTAGATGTAATGACTCAAGAACATCGGAATCGGAATGATGAAGTCCATGCTGACTGAAAGAACTGTAGCGAGAATCAGAGCCATATAGTAGGTGCGTTGGAGTGATTTCGGGTTGTCAAGGAATGCAGCATCTTCGGCTTCTTCTTTCTCTTCGTCAACGACAGTCGGAAGTTCGGCGTTGTGATTTGGATTTGACGGCTCGTCCTTTGGTGCTTCACTTGTTTTCGTTTCAGGGATTCCAGTTGCAGCATCATCAGTCATCATGTCTTGGACGTTTTGCGCCGGTACAACATTGCCATACAGAGATGTTTTGGCATTGATATCACGTGTGATTGCCCAGTCAAAATCATCCGGTTTGACCCAGGATACTACACATGTAACAATGAGGCCGGTGAGGACTCCTGCCATGTTGCCTGCAAGGGTCGGATATGAGCCTCCAGTACTAGCAACGCTGAGCTCACCATAATGGACTTTTGCTTCAACCAGCCACGCGGTCAGTCCAGCTGCAAGACCGCAAAGAGCGCCGGCGATGGCTCCAGCGCGAGTTTGGCCTTTCCATGTCACGGCAAATGCAGCAGGGAAGACTGCACCGCCAATGAGCAGTCCCATGACAAGGAAAAGCCATCCAAGGTCGATGCCAATAGCGTTCCAGATACAGGCAAATGCTGCCATGACCAGGCCAAAGAAGCAGATCATCACATGCGACACGAAGATGAGATCTTTGGGGGTGGCATTCGGCTTGATATACACCTTGTAGACATCAAACGTCAGAATTGATGATGTGGCAATCAATTCCGAGGATGATGAGGATGTTACGGCCATGAACAGTGTGATAAGCAGACCAACAGCACCGTGCTTCCCGAGTAAAGCTGCAGCGCCGAAGGGAGCGGACAGTCCAGACGATATCTGAGATGAAGTCATCTTGTGTGGATAGGTAGGATAGGCTGGGTTGTCCGTGAGAGCCACTGCAGCAAGACCAAGAGTCGTGGCAAACCCAAACGGAATTGCATACCAAGCGAAACCACCCATGATGTAGCCTCGGACCGCGGTAGTTGGACGGCTGGCGATAGCTCTTTGCCAGTAGCCTTGATCGAGAAAAACTGTACCCATGCCGGAGCAGAGCTGTATAACCCCGAATATCAAGCCATAGTTTGATTTCAGGGTGAGATATGATCCATTCTGGTTTCCTGCAACGGGTCGTACGTTTCCTGCATGAACGAGCAGGTCATACATCTTCCCAGGCGAGCCGATCAGATCATTAGAAGTATATACCTACCAATCCTCGTCAGCTTGATCTCGAGTCTGCTGAAGGGGGCGGACTCACGCTGAACATAAAGTATAAGATGACGACCATAACAATGATTGTATGAGAATAGTCGCAAAGGAATGTTGCTCGAAGTCCACCGAGGACAACATACACACATACTCCAAGAGGAATGAGAAAGACAGCTGCATAGACATTCATTCCTGTCAATGAAGTGACAACTGCACTTCCTCCCAGCAGTAGTTGTGATGCCACAAGGATGTTGGTCATCAATGCAAAACAGATGAAGATTATATGGGTAAGCTTTCCGTATCGATAGTATATAATCTCCAGGAATGTGTGACAACGTGGCGCGTTTTGTTTCAACTTGCATGCGAGGACCGAAAACATGAAGATTTGCACTGTTGCCCCTGCTGCATACCAGAAAGGGCCAGAGACTCCATATTCGTAGGTGACAGTACTGGACTGAAGTAATGTGGCCGCCCAGGTCCAAGCGGAAACGACTCCACTGGCAATGAGTCCAGGTTTGACACTTCGACTGGCTGTGTTGAATTCTTCGCTCATCTTGGTGGAATATTTGGTGTACCGGTTCTGTAGTTACTTAGTATAAGATCAGCGTCAAAACTGTTTCACGTACCTGAAGGTATGAGACACCTGCCATAACGAAGGCAAAGAAGAATCCAATTCCGATGACGACTCCATATCCGGCACCTTGCGGAAGGATGGGTTGGATAGCGCTGGACATAGTGATAGATACTGAGTACTCAGTTTGGACGAGGTTTGATTTCAAAATGCAATGAATCAAGTCGAAGAAGACTTATATGGAGCATTCTGATACATAATCACATGACGACAATAGTTCCTGGAATAACAATAGTATGGAGCCTCGACAATGATAAGTACCTCCCTGATAATTCGCTGGCTTGAAAGAGGATATCAGTCTCAGGGGCTACTCCATGATGCTATCAGGCCGCGGGTGGCACAAGGGTGAAAGCCTTTGACACTTATCTCCGCATGGAGGACGTAAAATCAGATATGATGGTGTCTTATCATGTCTGTTGGAAACATCTTTGAAGAGAATGAGAACGTCTTCTTCATGTGCCCTACTGAATACCTTGCTGATCCCTTGAGAGCCAAGTAGATTGTAGCACGGCTGACTCAGTTGTTCGTCAATATGGTAGTTGACACCGAGCAGGCGTTATCTCTTCGATAGCGAGACTGATTATGGTGCAAACGTTCTCATAGTAAAATTGTAAAGATATTGAGGCCGCTGATCATTCCGGATTGCTGAACAGGTAGGGCACCACGAGCTCCCAGAATGAATAGCCAATGGCCGTTACTAGATCCAGATTCTAGGATGATGCAGGCTATGAGATCCACTCGGAGAGAAGTCATATCGCGCTATGTTGTTTCGTTGCCTGAGATGTTTCTTACATGGGGAACAAGGTGTAATCAAGTGGAGGTAAATGACCTTAACCCTAAGTGGCTAAACTTGAACCTAAATCCCCCGATTGAGATTAGGTCAGGCCTATGGCGCGCAGATCATCAGCCATCATTGGATACAACGCCCACATATTTTGCAGATCTTCCGAAAGCCTATTATATAGCCTAGAAAGGTAACGGATATACGCGAGCCCCCTGCTCCATCAGACCCTCTTATGAAAACGGATAAGGCATGTCTATTGGCTTCTCACTTTCCACCTCTAGGAAATCTAGCTCACCGTAGTAGCGCCCAGCTCCGAGTGATTCCTTCTTTGAGCAGGAGGGCCTGAAACACCTAAGCTGGGGCTTTTGTGGAGCTCTATCGTGGGGATTGAACGATAAGAGAGATAAGGCCAACAGATTGAAGTAAGTTATACGCGACTGAATAGGTCTGAAGGCATCCAGGAATGTAAGGTCGGCTATAGAGCTGCCTGTTCTCTGAAATAAAGGACAGTGAACTTGTCTAGTTGCAAGGACACTTTGGCCGATTGTCACTCTCAGCTCGCCTTCGCAGCCCTACTTCATCCAAGATGTTCAGCCATACAATCACCTACTCACTCCGTAGACCTTATACTATCAAGAAGCTTTCTTCATTGACCCTGACTGGCTCTCGCCTATATGCGACCGTCAAACCTGCCCCTCTGGCAGACAAGCTCTCCGTCAACAGCGATCGATTATGGTAAGATAGAAGGGATGCAAAAGGAACCTGACTGACACAGCCACCAGGCGCGACATTCACTACACCGCTCAGTGGAGTGCACCCTCTCCGGGCGGTGTTACTCGACTTTGTGCGGATGAGAATGACAAGAAGGTCCGCGACTGGTTCAAAGAGCAACTTATTGAACTTGGAGCCGATTACAAAGTTAGTGTTCATCATTTCGAAATGGGTTTGGCTTACAGAAATCAGGTCAATGCTACCGGTACTCAATTCGGGGTATTCGAGGGAGAGGACAATAGCATCCCCCCTATCGCTATGGGAAGTCATTTGGACACAGTCGCAACGGGTGGAAGATTTGATGGTCCTCTTGGAGTAAGACATTCCGGTCATCTACTCCGAGTCTCTAACATCTATCAGGTTCTCGGAGCCTTGGAAGTTATTCGAAGCTTCAAGGAGCAGGGTATTAAGACCAGAGCTCCGATAGTTCTCATCAACTGGACGAACGAAGAAGGAGCACGATTCTTTCCTTTGCTTGGATCATCTATCGTCTATGCCGGTCGCTCCACTGTGGAGCAAGCCCATGCAGCAGCCTCGAACGACGCATCGGAATTGACCATGGGCAGCGAATTGAAGAAGATTGGTTACATCGGTGATGGACCAAATACATTCGAAGAGTTCCCCATCTCAGCGCACTTTGAAATCCACTGCGAACAGTCCACAGACCTGGAGAAGGCGGGTAAGCCTGTTGGATGGGTTGAAGGTTGGCAGGGAATGACTTGGTACGATGTCGTCTTCCATGGAGAAAACGGCCATGCCAATACCTACCCCATGTATGGCAGGCGAGATGCTCTGACCGGTGCAGCCAAACTCATTTGTGAGCTGGAAAAGCTCGCATATGAAAAGAATGGTGCCAGTACCGTGACTGGTATTCATAGCCGTCCATGGGGAGCTTGTAACATCCAGTCGAAGACAAAGATCACATTTTGCTTGATGCATAAAGAAGCTGAGGGATTGGAAGCCATGGGAACGTCCATCATGGAACGGGTGAAAAGTATTGCTTCTCTGCACGGGCTCGAAGTTGAAACTGATCGAACCGTGCATCTCTTGCCCGGCAACTTCTGGCCTGAAGCAATTGATTGCGTCAGACTTGCGTGCGGTGACAAGGGCATTGCTTCTCGAACTGGAACAGGCCATGACTCAACGATGACAACATTACTGTGTCCAACTGCCATGGTATTTGCCCGGGCTAAAGATGGTATCAGCCACTCTCCAAAGGAATGGACGTCTCAAGAGGACTGTGCGGAAAGTGCGCTGGTTCTCGGGAAGTCGGTACTGAATTTCGATAGTTACCTTAAGGAAAAGGCTCTGGAGAAGTAAGGAACAAATGAAGACTGCGGATATTATGCCAATATAGTGTTAGAGCTACTATCACAGACAATCACCTAAGGAGCTATACACTCCCTACCTAATTCAGGAGGGAAGTGTAGGTAAGACTACGTAAGTGTACAAACGATAATTGGACATGATATTTAAGGCTATTAATACATCGGTAATTTTTCCCGCGGCCTAGAGCATTTAATAAGGCTACGTTAGCCTAGGGAGCCTATAGCGACCTATAAGATACTGTAAGGGTTTAGAGAAAGTTCTATAACTAGCTAGCTAACCTAGTAATAGGGAGGATAAATCTAAGGAGAGAAGTGTTACGAGGTGCTTCACACGTGAGGTGCCTTAGTAAACCCGAGGTAGTTTACTTAGTGATATAGTAGTGGGCGATATAGTAGAGACGAAACTAAGAGTATAGTGTACGGGACTATACGTAAAGTACTTAACCGAGAGAAACTCGATTATTTATGAACGAGGTTGACTACGCTTCCTAAAGAAGTAGGCCTAGCTAACTATATACTCTAGGTAGGTTTCCTATTAAGGTAAGTCTAAGCATTACATTATTATAAGTATTACGACTATATTACTATAATAGGTATAATAGGGTATTTCCTATTCTAGTTATTACGTATCCTAGGCTAGCCTTACTAACGAGGCTACCTCTTTATCTCGCTTAACCTTCCTTACCCCGCGTTCCTAGGTAGCCGTATAAAGGTCGGTTCGTAATACTTCCCCCTCCTTAACCTATTCGTTATCCGTAACGTACTTAAGGTAAGTCATCGCCCGTCTATAGGCTAGTTTCCTCTTTCTTCTTTCTCGTTATAACTAACTATATAGGCCTTTAGAGTCTATAAGTCGAATCCGAAACCCTTAAGATCTTCTAAACCTCCTATTCCGTAGTAATAGCGTTAAAACGAAATCGCTGATTATATCGAATCGATTAAAGAAAATAAAGTAATAGTTACTTATTCTAAGTATATCGCCTATAGCGATGTATACTTCTACTCTCGGGAGTAGAGTGTAAAGTACGCGGTATACCTACGGTACCGAAGAGAATATAACGGAACATTTTCCGTTAAGTAACTTCGTCGGATCGGGGAGTAAAAAAGATAGCTCGCTTCTAAGTCCCGCCTAAAGCGTCGCGAGATCGTACGGCTTCGAAAAACCTTAATTAAGGCCTAAAAGGCCTTAACTGAGGCGGAGGAGTCCGACGTAGAGTTATAGGAGTCGATTATAAAACTAGATAAACTCTCTAATAATATATTAAAGCGAGAGATATAGGCGTTAGGCGCTTTTAATAAGGTTCCTTCTAGTAAAGAGGTAGCCCTAGCCGAACCTAAATTTATCTAGTAGGACGTACTATAGTCGAAGTCGATAGACTAGAACGTAGTATTAAACTTTAGTAATACTAGGCTTACCCCTACTTAGGGGAACCTATAACCTACTAGCGGCCGCTCTCTCCTTTCGAGTTTTCTAATGGTATTTTTTCTTTAATTTAGGAGGTAAGTCTCCGCTGTCCTCCTAGATATTTTCTTTACTTCCGTATCCTAACTATTTAACTAAGTATATATCTTATCCATCGGTAGTTTAATCTACCGGATAGAAGTCTACGAGTTCTTCTATCTTATACAGCGGTTCGCCGGTTTCTTAGTTAATATCTACGGGTCCTAGTTTAGCGTTTAGATTATTATATAATTCTAATAGAGACTTATAGAAGGTAGGGTATATCCTTAGCGTTTTCAGTAGATCTAGTTTAAAAGTTACTAGTTTTAGTTTCCGTTTAATACGATATAGTCCGATCTTAGTATAATCTAGTTTATCGCTTAGTCTTTTTATTTTAATGTTTTTTCGTCGTATATAGACTATCCCCTCCTCTTCGAGGTCTAGGCCCTTAAATCTCTTTCTATTTTCTCTTTTTATTATTTTTTCTACGATTTTCTATAGTTCCTTTTTCATTATTTTATATAGTTATTTCATTTTCTCTAGCTATATTCTAGCTTCTTCTAATATCTTTTTCTTTTCTTCTAGTTTTCTAAATATATCGGGGTAGTATCCGTAATTTACGAAATATAGTAAGATCCCTATAATAGTCTTACTATTATTAAAAGTCATTTATACTATCGATAGTAACTATTGTGAGGGTTTGGAAAGAGTTCTGCAACTAGCTAGCCAACCTAGTAACAAGGAGGATAAATCTGAGGAGAGAGAAGGAGGAATAATGTCCCCTCCTTCTCTCCTTATATCGTACGCTCTTCCGCAAGGGATACTCATTGTCTTCCCCTTTCTCCCTTGTCCTTCCTCTTTCGTACACGCCTTGCGTTTCCCTTGCCTTTTGTCTCTCTTCCTTACCTTCCCTTGCGTACGGTGTCTCAGTTTGCCAGGATTCGGTATCCCTT